GCAGCGTGATATCAAATCGGAAGCAACATTAGCGCAACACAAAAAATTAATTGATTATTTACAGCTGAAGGTCGAAGACTTATCGCATAAGAAGAAACTTACATTCGCTGAAAAATTATTCGGAAGTGGCGTACATAGCAACGCCAGTAAAAAAGAGAACATATCACCAGCGGCCGTTGAGACATCAATATTATATCGAACATTGAAGGAAGAGCTACGTCGCGAAAAACAACAATGTAAAACACTTCAGGATCAAATAGACAAACTAAATGGTAAACAATAGAGTTGTGCTAGTAATTGTTATTTAAGCTTCTCTTTCCAGGTGCTTCACAAAATAGTGTTGGTTCAACAGGCGGGGTAAGGTCACCATTGAAAAGTGTAATAAAAAATGAAGATAATTCCAATAAAACTGTGGGAACCTTACCCAATTCATCACGAAAGGCAATTCAAGGAGACACAGTAGTGTCTACTACCTCTAACTTGCAAGTCAAAAATGAAGAAGCCCATCACCGCTTTGAATTGGCAATACAAGAGACTAATAATTGCGATAATATGTGCATTGCTTGCCAAAAGCCATTAATTGCTGGTTCGCCCTATTGGAAGTGTAAAGAGTGCAAAATTGCTGCACATCGCAAGTGTCGTGGTGATGTGCTTACGCCGTGTGGCAACCAAATTAACCAAGTTGCTTTAATTTCTCAACCAGCTGATACCCGGTGCCCTGAGGATCAAAGCGGTATAGATTCTATCTCCAAGTATTCATATGAGGGTAAATTAGATGACATTGGTGATGTTACCGAATCTACATCAGGTATAACCCAAAGCGAGTACTCTGGAAATTTGATATTCTGTGTAGATAAGCAACGTAATAGCGAAAATTTAGAGCCTTTAGAGATCAATTGTGCTTTCGAAATTGAAGAGCAAAAGATAGTACTTCTAGGCTGCAATATTGGCCTATTCGCTTTGCACATTCAACAGCCGCAGCGACTGATGCATATTGCGGGTATTGATTCGGTCAGCTGCATCGCGGTTTCATTGCCACTTGCCAAAGCTGTATTGGTAGGAGCTCGTGGAGAGTCACTATTTCAGTGCGATTTTCGTCAGTTACTGTCGCGAAGTCAATCGGCTTCACCTTATTTGAATAACAGCCTCGAAGCTTCTGTATTGGACTTACCATTTTGTAATCGATCCACTAATGAGAAGTGGCAAATGGTAAAAATATCAAACGAAGCGGATAATGCGTTGGACTCCGTAGCTATTGCAGCAACATCTACACGTATTGTAATTATGAAATATGACTTAAAGCAACAAAAATTTGCACCTGTGCGGGCTCTAGATACCGCTACACCAGTTTCATCAATACTTTTTACACGCCTTACAGCTATTGTTAGCTCAGATAAGTTTTTTGAGATTGATTTGGCAAATTATGCCGCTGAAGAATTTGTTGATTTGTCCGATCATGCCCTTTCGCACATAACTAACTGCCAGCCAGTTGTTGCCATACGAATCTCGCAACAAGAATTTTTACTCTGTTTTATGGAATGTGGTATTTTTGTGGATGAATACGGTTGTCGTTCTCGACCTTATGACTTGAATTGGGAATACACTCCCACTGGTTTCATTTACCGTGAACCATTCCTCTATATTGCCCATTTTCAATCAGTACAAATTTTACGAATATATCGCTCTTATACTAAGGAGCTGGTTAGCGCAAACAATATGAAGGATATGGATGCAGATATCGATGATAGTTGTCCAAGTTCCAAGCGCATTTATTTGAGATTTTATATGCCAACATTACTGACAGAAAGCGGAAAATTAAACATTTATACGCTCTCAATACAAAAAGAAACTGGACTACAACAAATATATCATCTGAATTCATTACAAGCATTCAAACAAAAACTAAACGAGTCATTAGAAACGATTTCATCGATGGCAACAGCGATTACTGCTGAATCTTTGCCCACCTCTAACCGTGACAGTATCGATTAACACAAATGTAGTTTATTTACTCCTCATTCTCAGGAATGCACATAGCTATTTGAATGTGATTTCATATACACATTGCAACTGATACTTATTTTTTGTATTTGGAACGAATCACTTATTTAATAAAAATATGTACAGGGTTTTAAGTACAGCTAATGAAATTGTCTGTTATTAATTAGCACTGCGGCAGCAATATTGTAGTGTAAATACATATGTATGTTTATACCGGCAAAATTACGAAAATTATATTTCTTTGGCACCGCAATCTAATTGTATGGACGGTAAGAGGAAGTTCTCAGAAATATTTCAACATATACCCGCCTCAGACTTATTGTTTTCGAGATATTTGCATTTAAAGTAATGCACGCTATTTCACCAGAGAATGTTAATAAATAGAGAAGGCACAAATCTTAAAAAATATTTTAAGCTTTTCACAAGAGGGAACTTCGAAAAATATAACATCGACTCTTGAAATACACCACTCAATGACCGAAACGGGCACATTTGTATATTATAAAAAAATCATAATTTTTGTAATTTAAAATAATTCCTTTAATTATATAATATAAGAGGACTATTGGTTAAAGCCCCATAATTTACAATAAAATAAGTAATTAATAGAAAAATTCTTCAACACATTTTTGTGCGTTGCATGAAAAATATCTAATAGGCAAAGAATAACTATAAAACAGAGGCTAAGCGGCCGCTTCCCACTTTTGTGATAGCTCAGGTCGTAAGCGTGAAGGAGTTAAGGTCAAGCCGAATACAAACGCTTACGTTCGTATCCGGTAATTCATAAATCTTAATTTTTATTAAATTTTATTTTTTGACATTTTAGCTGATCTCAATTCAGTTAGTTAAATATCATATTTTACTCATTGAAATAATTAGAATATTGCAGGAAAATATTTTCATATATTTAGGTTTATTGAATATTCCCTCATTTATGCGTATATAGACAAATGTGACTATCCCACATCAATTTTTAAATACACGTAAGCTGATGCTTGCTTCTTCATACCCCGCACAAACAATGACTTTTGTCTTCACTTTTTGCAAGAAGCACGATCGCACGTAGGGAGGGTCTGGGGTTCTCTGCCACATAATTATTTCAAATATATATTTTAATTCATCGAATTTATTTTAAAAACATTTAAATAAGTATGTATTCATGTTGACAGGGGAGGGCACAATAGACCATAGGTCGCGGTGCATACCTCAAAACTAATCTAATGTATTCATGTGAATTTATATTTTTACGCAAATATTATAATATTAAGTAAATAATCAATACAAATTAAGCAATATATCATCGTCGCGTAGTTGACAAAATTTGTTAGAATCCACAATTGAAAATTGACTTCTGCTCTTTTGAAATAGTACGATTACCGATTGAGCAGCATTTTCGAAGCGTCGTATTTAGATAAAATGGGCTAAATCGAAAAACTATGAAATAATGATAATAAGTAAACATATAAAAGTATTATTTGCAGTGCGATTAGAATATATATAAGTAATTGAAGATTTCATATGAGTGGTGATTGTGCAGAGATTATACAATTTAATGCCATATATAGTGCATAATATGAATTAGATAAAATATTATAATAATTAAGTCGTTAATGGGCCATATTGTCAATTCTGCTTTCTAAAGGGAACATCAGACAAATTCTTCAGTTTCAGATTTTTAGCATCGTTGTGAGGATGCAGCTTGTGGGCAACATGCAAAGGTGTGGAGGATGGTAGGATTTTCAGTGGTACAAATTGTAAAATTGAAATTTTGATTTTCAATTTTACTGAAATCATTTCATTTGAATTTAATTTTTTGTCATCCTTGCGCATTTGCGGAGGGAATTCATATGGAAGCCAAATGTGGCAGACCAGGCGCACAGCAAAAAGAGCACAGTGGATAGTTATAAACGATCGCACTTTGTTTTGTAGCATACGCGCTTTCCTTATGAATGAATTTGTTGGCGTTGTAATACAAAATATTTAGAAAATATGGTGCGAGCTTGCTCGAATCTTATTAATGGTGGTGCGTCTGCGATTTTTTATCGCTTATGCGAATGTTTGATCCTTTACAAAAGGCATATTGAGAGACATACATACGTACATATGTGTACACATATGCAAAAATATTTGGACATGAAGGAATCCACTTTGAAGAAATTCACATACAAATTGGTTATTTGAAACAAGTAAAAAAAAATTATTTTCACACATTATCTGTAATGCTGCTTGAATAGCACAGCTCTTTATTGCAAAATTACATCAAATATTGCCTGAGTTCAAATTCTATCACAGATGTTGTTTTATTATTTTTTTAATATTTATAAACCTTTTTTATTAAATTTATTTTAAGTTTTCTCTCATTATATAAATGTACTTAATTTCTTTTTGTTGTTCTAATTTTTCTTAATACGTATACCAAAGAACATATGCGCATATATACATTTGCCGTTCCTTTATAAGGTGGTGAAAATTTGCTTTGTTCGTTTTTAAGGTGGTGTAGTTTGTTGAGTTCGAATATCATGAAGGAAAGGTTCCTTTTTGACGTGGCTTAATTTATTTTTTGAATTTGCGCATTTTCGATGTTCGTTTTTAATAATTTACATTTTAGCACAGCATAAGCGTACGTGTATTTAAAAATGGATGTGCGATAGTCACATTTGTCTATATACGCATAAATGAGGGAATATTCAATAAACCTAAATATATGAAAATATTTTCCTGCAATATTCTAATTATTTCAATGAGTAAAATATGATATAAAAATAATAAAAATCAAAATAAAATTTAATAAAAATTAAGATTTATGAATTACCGGATACGAACGTAAGCGTTTGTAGTCGGCTTGACCTTAACTCCTTCACGCTTACGACCTGAGCTATCACAAAAGTGGGAAGCGGCCGCTTAGCCTCTGTTTTATAGTTATCCTTTGCCTATTAGATATTTTTCATGCAACGCACAAAAATGTGTTGAAGAATTTTTCTATTAATTACTTATTTTATTGTAAATTATGGGGCTTTAATCAATAATCCTCTTATATAATTTGAAGTTATTTTAAATTACAAATTGCGTGGTGTGTTTCTAAAGTTTCGAAGTTGTATTTTTCGATGTTCCCTCATCTGGAACTACAAATTAGTACTCAAAAAGATTTCATTTAACACATAACATTGCGCCTTCTCTATGCATTAACATTCTCTTCTTATATGGTGGATCGTTAACAAAATTTGGCCACACGAACATCTGGCAACTACGAATACCGCTGTCTAGTTCATTCTAGCAATTTTTCGTCGATTATGTTTTGAGCTAGCATAGTGTTCGTCACAATATTTTTATGGCTGATTCACATAGAAGTTTTTGCCAAACAATTGCAAGTTTTAATATAGAGAAACACGACGAATATTTAAGACTATATACAAAAACCGGATTGTTTGCTTTTCAACTTTAATTCTTTCTGCGCTATAAACTGTTCGAAGAGACATAGATATGTTAATCTCCGCAGCAATATCGGTCCATCGATATTAAGAAAAATTCATTTTTTAGAATGGCATGGTTTTTATTTGCAAAGCTCAACTCTTTCAATTATAGGCGGTGTGAGTGTATCGAAAATTGGAAGCATTTTCTGATTGTAATGTCCGGGTTACGGAGAAAATCTGAGTTATCAGGAATGATTCCGTAAGATTTTATCTGACGATGTTGTTGGTTTAAGCAGAAGGGTGTTCGGTTAACCAGAATACTGTTATTATTTTTATCATTATAATACTTAAAAACTGGTGATGAGAATGTACTTTTCTTCACTGATAAAATTTAGATTTACAACTCGGTATATTTTTGACTTTCTGAAGGGTTCAATAAAGGTGATAATAGTTTTCTCCAACAGAAAGTTATAATTTATTTATTTTTATAGCAACAGAATTTGTAAAACATATTTTCAAGTTGTTCAAATTTGAAACAAACAGTCGTGTGGAAATATTTTTAGGTGGTTTATTTATTTTATATCAATCTTTTCAGAATAGGTGACTTGGAAGGTGATATAGATTGAAATTCATACTAAAAATTTCACATCCCTATACTTGTGGGCCATATTCCAATTGTTGCAACCCTGTTATGGCATCCACTCAACGATTGACAAACGAAACAGATTTCTTTCCACTTCAGCCGAAGCACACGACCGAGATAGGTGAAAATTTTCAGAAAATCGCTTCCGAATTGGTGTAATTCGTTTTTCGACCAGCAACGGATAAATAAGTGGACTTGTAATCCTTAAATATTTTCAGTGCGTGGCTAGTTATTATATATTTTTTAAAAAGATAAGTGTAAATTGTGGGTTTTGCAGTTGTCGCAGTGCTTTGCAACGCAGTAAGCAAAGCAGCACCGCGCTGGCCGCAGTAGCGCCGCCATTGGAAGAAATTTTAATACGTCGCGTTTTTTTTTTGCCAATCTATTTGTCGTGGCGCACCTGGCAAGAGCAATTTGTGAGCTAAGTAATCGCCAAAAACCAAAGGAAGTTTCAAGCTTTTTGTTGCACTTTTTAATTTGTGTTACGCTGCTGAACAATTTTCTGGTAGATATTGGGGAAAAATAGCTGAAAAATGAGTGGCGGAATGCCCGAGTTGGGCTCAAAGATCAGCTTGATCTCTAAAGCTGATATTCGGTACGAGGGTCGTCTATACACTGTAGATCCCCAGGAGTGCACTATTGCTTTGTCAAACGGTAAGTTACACCTACACCTTAGTTGCATATACCGTTATGTGGAGCGCTAATCACACCATTTGCAAATTTGGGGGGAAAATGTTTCTTTGCTGTTGTGCAGTCGTTGTTGACGTCGGCGTCAACGTTATAGCGAAGGCAACAGCAACGTAGTGTAAAAGCGAATTGGGCGAAAAGGAGTATAGAAAACCGTGCAGTGTAAAAAAAGAAAATGGTTTCTTTCATTTATGCTGTTTCATTTCACATCGTTCTTTAATTCCTTTGATTATTCGTTTTGTTTGTTAGTGTTATTGAATTTTTTTTTTGTTGATTTCTGGTTGTCTGAATTTTATATGTCATGTTGGCACTGGTTTTTCTCTTGAGTACAGATATTTATTTTTTATATGTCAACATTTGTATATCCATTTATTATTTCTATATATACGAATTTTCAATTAACTTCTTTCATTTGGGCGGGCCGTTATTCTGAACAACGATTAACGGAAGTAATTGCTACCGTTATGAGTGTTTGCCATGTATTTTTTGGTTTTGGATTTCTTAAGCTAGATTAAAATTTATAATAGGTATTTGATTGTATAAAGAAACCAGATTTTATATTCTAAAACAAACTTGTTGGGAGAGATGCCATTTACATACTTCTGGGAAATGTATGATCTTTGACGTATATTTTCAACTTTTATAATTAATTATGTTAAAGAAGCTACATTTGCTAAACATGTATAACATTTAATTCAATTTCAGTTCGATCGTTTGGAACCGAGGACCGGGAGACACAGTTCCAAATTGCTCCACAGAGCCAAATATATGATTATATACTTTTTAGAGGTTCTGATATCAAAGACATTCGGGTTGTTAATAACAGCCTTCCGCATCCAAATGATCCGGCTATAATGCAAGTGCAGCTACAAAATGGGCAGCATATGATGCCGCATTTCCCCATGCCCAACATGAATCCTCCCCATGCACCGCCGATGAATGCAGTCGGAGGTTATGGCAATCCATTTGGAATGGGAGGATTAGGTATAGGAGGAGCTGGTGGTGGTGCACCTTCATTAGCACCTGGATCTGGAGCACCTGGACAATATATATTAGGTGGTGGTAATCAACCACAACAATCAACTCAACCGCCTCAGCCACAACAGCAACAACAATCGAAATCACAGCAACAACAAAAACAACCAAGTGAGTTACTTACCAACAACAACAACAACAATCTGACCCATGTTCAGCAACAAGACCAAATACAGGAACAAACACAACAATTATCACTTCATAATAAAACAATTGCATCCACAATACCAACGAATCAGACTCAGTTGCAGCAGTATAATGATTTAAAAGCATCAACTCAAACGAATTTAACGCCAACGTCGAACACTTTAAATTTGGGAGCAATTGGTGGTGGTGGTAGTATAATTGGTAGTAATGGTAATAGTGGCGGTGTCATCGGTAGTAACCGTAGAACTAGCGGAGGCTCTAGCCTAATTGGAGGTTTACTTGGTAGTGGTGGAGGTGCTTCTGCTGGTAGCAATGTTACTATTTTAGGTGCAACTAACAAAGTGAAGAAAATAATATCTCAAGCTGCACTTAATGAGCACAAAGACCAAGGTGTGATGGTAACGCCTTTTTTGACTTGGAGAAAGTTTGATTTGTGCGCTTTATTTTATTTTTTTTAACCTTTAGTTTTTTTAATCAAATATTATTTTTTATTAAATATTATTACTGTTTTAAATTCGTTTGGAATTAAAATTGACAGAGATAAATTATTTTGAAAGTCTTTATTCAATATTAGCTAGCAATTACTTGCTCCTTGGTTTAAAGTGTTTCGACATATGGACTTTTTATCATGACGATTAGATTTGATCACATTTCTGATGTATTCTATGTTACCATATTAAGTTCGTATATTTTTGGTAGGATCTTCAAGGGCAAAGTTTTACAGCTGGCATATTCTAGTTAAAAGTGCCTATTATTAATTTTTTATGTGAATGTTTCTTTATTTCGAATATGAGAGATACGATTTTTTTTCTCTTTCTTTTCTGAGAGTTCCTCAATTTTTTTTAAACTGCAGGTTTCCTTCTAATATGGGTGTTTTATTTTAATTTAATGGAATTAAATAACAGTTCCCTAAAGAGATTTTCCAATTTCGTATACGATTCTACGTTTAATTTTCCTAATTTTTAAAGTGCAGTACCTAAATGGAAGAGCTAGAGGTTCTGCTTGCTGTCCCTTATATATTTGTTTTGAGTTATATATATTTTTTAAAAAATAAATTTCTTGGCTTTATAAATTATTTAATTTTTTTAAAGCACATGCATTTTGTATATTTATACGAATATATTTACCATACATTAAAGAAATAATTTATCAATGGTTTTCAGACATACTTGCCGGTGCATCGCGCTCAACGACACCTATGAGCCATGTTTCGCTAAAAAGCGGTTCACCCGATGTGGCCGCTCAGCAACAGCATCAAAACCAGCATCCGAATCAGAACACTGGACATGGCGGCAACTCGCGTGAAGCTGGCCACAAGCGACAAAATCATCAACAACGTGGTGGCAACAACAATCAACGCAACAATGATTTTTACCAACAGTCACGTGATCGACGCGATTCTGGACGTCACACCGACGGCAACTATAATAATCAACATCATGAGGTTCGTGGTGGCAACAATTATAGCAATCAACGTAATAACCATCAACGTGGTGGAGGTGGCGGCGGCGGTAGTGGACAAAATCATGCTTGGACCATGCACCGTGGTGGACCTAATAATGGCAACAATATGATGGTACGCAACCGAGGTGGCGGACGTGGGCGGATGCAAAATCAAGTGAGTATGAAGTTCGTGAAATATAGACGAAATAAATGCAATTATCTTCGCGAAAGCGTGCAAATGAAACAGCTATTTAAATTAATTTTTATTTTTGCTTTAAGGGCTTTCGACCAATGGGCGGTCCTGCCGGCAATCAAAATAAACCCCGGAATCCGAAGAATGCTATCAAATTTTTACAAGATTTCGACTTTGAACAGGCCAATGTTAAATTCGAGGAGCTACGTTCTCAATTGTCCAAATTAAAGGTGGGCGAAGAACCCAAAACAGAGCAGGTATTCATTCGCTTTATTTTGCTTATTTTCTTTGTTTTGTTTTTACGAGTTATATTACTTTTTTACATTATTATACTATTTTAAATAAGGTGCGTTTGAGCTACGTAACAATTGCAGCGGTACAGAAACTGTGTTGCATATTTGCTGATACTCTGCTGATGTGCAGACAAAAATTTAGTGTGGCCGATTATTTGCATAAATAGCGTGCAAAAAGTGACAGTAGAACGCGATGTTGTTGCAAGTATTGCCAAAAATTCACGCAGAACGAGATACTTTGGCAAATTTGCAACACTGCTGTCGTGATTGCCATCTCGAACGCACCCATAACATCATTAACAAATTCAATGGAAATATTTTTATACCCCGAACAGACTATATTAAGTATGCAACAAAGTTTGTAACACCTAAAAAAAAAGTCGGAGAACTTATAAAATATATATTTAAATGATCAGCATGATGAGCTGAGTCGATTTAGCCAAGTCCATCTGTATCGATATCATTATCTAATTCTTCTGTTTTTCTTCCAAAGAGCTCATATTGGGACACTAAAGGATATAGCTGCCATACAAACTGAACGATTAATTACAAGTCCCAAGTCCTTGTATGGAAAACTTTTTTTTTACGAGATATCTCTAAACGAAATTTGGCCTGAATTATTATCCAAAGTAATGGTACAATCTCTGAAGAAATTGCTCATATCGGACTACTATAGCATTATGCTGCCATACAAATTGATTGATCAGAATCAAGATAAAGATCTTTTTATACTCTTTTTTGCCATAAGAAATGTATCTGTGAAGGGTATTTAGCTTCGGTACAACCGAAGATAACGTTTTTTCATGTTATGACTGTAATTTAGTAAAATTAAATTAATTTTTCTTGAACTCGAGATAACCCTGCTTTCTATGATACTACAATCGAGGTGATATCGAGATGCGTAGAATTACTACATTTTCTTTATTGTCGATATTTCATAAAATATATATACACGTGTTTGCTCACGAAGAAGTTGCTCTTGAAATGAAGAAATATATTTAAGTCAACTCGAATCCGATAGATTTCAACCATATTTTGTGCTACGTAATTTGTAGCGCATATATGTATGTGATAATTGTAGAAAATTCGTTAATACATTTTATTAACCTTTTAATATTATTTTGCTGAGTGCTATATTTCTTATACAAAATAAATGTGGATTGTAAGTGCACAGTGTAACGGTACAAAATATTTAGTATAGTATCTCATAGCTTCTTTTATCATGTGTCATAATATTTTTGTAGTGTCAACCGCTCGCTCCACTCAGTTTATTTGGATTTCGCCTAATATCCATTCAATATTCCTTTGTAGATAAACGGTGAAACTGACAAAAAGGAAGACTCTGGTAATGAGACTGGTGCTGGCGAACATGAACCGGAAGAAGAAGAAATTTCAGTTGGATATGATAAGACGAAGTCCTTCTTTGATAATATTTCATGTGAAGCTGCACAGGATCGTAGTAAGAATAAGAAAAATGACTGGCGTCAGGAGCGCAAGCTAAACAGTGAAACATTTGGATTTTCATCTACAAGACGTGGAGGGTAAGTTGTGTTTGAAAAGTCAAATTAAGGAAGAATGAATTTGGATTATCGCTAATCTCTGTATAATCTTTTAGATATCGTGGTCGCGGTAATTATTACAACCGTAATATGGGTTCTTATAGCGGTGGTTATAATCGAAACTATCGTGGAGGAAGTAATTATCGTAATCGTAGCAGAAACCCGAATGCTGCTTCAAACAACGCAAACGGCGGTACTTCTAATACTAATACTGGAAACTCCGGTACGTCTAATAACCCTGGTGCCAATACGGCTGTAGCACTGAAAACTCAAGTGCAACCACCGCAAACATCGGTCTCAGCGTCTGGTTCAACTCCAAATGCCACGAAATTAGCAACTGTGGAAAATAGCAACACACCGCAGCCAATCGCAGCTGGCGGAGTTGGTAAGTCTCAAATAATTTCGCAATGGTACTTGAAGTATACGAATTACTCCAATAAAAAATAGCCTGAGTAACTTTTTCACATAAAGGTCTTCAGTCATCTAGAAACGTTATCAAAGATTTGATAGCATTTTTACACTCTTGCGACATATTGCAAGATAGTATAATAGCTTTGTTCGCCTAAGGGTGGTTTGTAACACCTAGAGCTAATCCAGATAGAGGTATATATAAATGACCAGGATGTTATGATGAGTTGAATTCAAGGTGACTGTTTTTCCGTCCGTCTGTGCACGCTATAATTCTAGTAGGAACTTTGTATACGTGTTGGCACTATAAGATAGTTGATATTAGAATTTCAATGTTTCAGTTAACTTTACTGTTTATATCGGTCAATATATATAATATCGTAGCAAAATTAGGTGAACGTATAATACTACATATACTATATTTAACGCCGAATTTGTGTGAAATGGATCCATGAATTACCCCAGCTGCCATATACTACATATAATGATTTCCACCATTCTAGCACACTTTATACCGAATATGTCGGTCATTGCGAGAGTTATTTAAAAAAATTTAGTAGAAACATGTTCTCGAGTATACTTGAGTAAACCAAAAGTTGATGCAATCATTCCAGACCTTCTGCTAGTCGCAATATAACCGATATAGGGATCTCCAATTCAACCTGACGTTAAATCGTTAGGTTGATATGATATAAATGTATGAGATTTAGCCCTAAATATGAATGAAATTGGTCTTGGTCTAAAGCTCACATCCCTAATATACTGATTTCTGATCCTCTGGTTGAGTTCTTTCTCATACCTAATCGATTAAATTTAGCCTATTTGGTTTAGTTTATATCACATATCTAGGAAATATGTGAGCCTGTGAGCTTAATATAATTATCACGAGCACGAATTAAAATAACGTAATGAAACTAAGTAAGTCTAATAATAAGATACCAAATTTGATTGTAATTCATTCATAATTTCGTCGAATAAGGAATGTTGAATTCTTACGCAAAATTTTTAATATGAAGTTTTGCTAATAACAAGGTATTTCCCCGGCTTTAATACTTGCAAATTGCGGTAACACCCAAACTTAGAAAGCCTTATATTTAAATTTTCGTTTTTTTTTCAAATAAATTCTCATTTATATCCCATCGTTCACTACATCCTCGCTTCGAATGTTTCAAAATGTTTTTTTTTTCTTGCAAAATTTTATTTTCTATGTGTAAAATGTGTACACATCGCTTTTGATATTCGCTTTTTATAAACAACGCTCGTCTGCTTCGAATCCCTTAATTATTTAACGTTTTCTATTTTATTTATGATATACATATACATTTTTTGTAACAAATATAAATAAAATATTTTCAAACCTATATACCTTTTTTTAAACTCATTACCATTTTGAAAAGATGATTATTAATTGCTTAAAAACTCATGACTAGTTTATAGCTTTTTATAATTAATATTTGAAGCTTTTTTAATCACAACAACACAAATATATTCAAAAGACTATTGCAATCAACCAATTTGAACTGGACCAACTACGTCCACAAAACATATGATTGGAAAATTGTTGTTTGTTTTTTTTTTACCAATCTTGATACCAATCGATTCCATGTAGCACGTCAATAACATTCCGTTTCGCTACAAATATAGAACTAGATCTAATCCGTTAACTTATTTTTCTTTGCAGGCCAATAATGATAACAATCCTCAGAACCAAATAAGGCATCAAATACTACAATATTAGCAAAAGAAGCCACAAGAAATCAACAAATATCAAATATATCAAGTACAGTACATAAATGAGAACATCATAAAGGAAAGTATCTATGCATCATAAATGGAAAATCTAATGGAACGTGCGGAAGAAATATATATTTATATACGGATATTCTTCGCTCTTTGTGAGAGTAGAAATATAAAGCTTAAATGTGTTTTACCAAATATTTCTTCCACTCACTCCGATGCATACCAACAAGAATTTACAACATCAATATGTATTTGAGCGTTAAAAAAGAGTTAAATAAGACGTCAGCAATGCGAATAATATTAATAATGATGATTAAGAATATACAGAAAAGAAAAGAAGAAAATACAACGTGGAATCATTCAAAGATGTTAGTAACATAGTTTTATTAAATCTGATATAAACAGAGGTCCAAACGAAAGAATTACAACAAAAATCAGCGAAAAAAATTTAAGAATTTGTATGTTATAAAAATGAAATGAAATTGAATTTTAAGTATCTAAAAGAGAGAATTAATTAAATGAAAATATGAATGTTCTCTCGGAACGTAAGAAGATCGCTCATCATCGAGCACGTTGGATGTAATTAAAAGAAAGGGTAAAGCTACTACTGTAAAGGCAGAATTACATTGTAGAAATGGTGGTGGTATGTTTTCAACTTCGAAGCATACAAATACGAAAGCATTTACAAAACATTAAAACAAGAGAAAATAAAATTAGAAATTAAATACGACTTTTATGCTGAATCCTTAATTAAAAAAAAAGAAATTCAATTTATAAATTACAATTACCTATAATAAAAACACATTTTAAAAGTTTGCAGAGGATGGGAGTGAGCCAAATAAAATCAGCATAAATTAAATTCATAAAAAGGAAACATAAATATATATTAGCAGGTTAATACAAATGAGAGAAATGTCGATACGCCCATACTTACTAACTACTCATGCACACACTCCTACACACAAAGCTGGCCTATAATATGCAAAGTATCTTGAGAGTAGTAAATGAACGTTATCTCTAAAACGCACATAATACATTGTATAGCAAGTGGCGTCAACTTAACGGTGGCGGCATTATCACCTGTGTTAAGTTAATTGAAGGAACTGAGTTTTGGGCCAAATAGCTGAAAGCAAAGCCAAGCCGAGCATATGTTATAGTTGGAGGAAAAGTAAAATTCTAAGAATTTTATACTAGAAATCAACAACTTACGTTTTCTCAACTTAAATACTACTACTATTATTATTATTATTACTATTTTAATTTTAAGAGTTAAAATATTTTAAAACATTTACAATTAAATTGATTGGCTAAGTTCTAAAGCAAAAATGTTTGTCAATAATTGCACATATCCTTTAAGAAACTAACTGAACGAATGCGCGTGCAGATTGGTGCCGATGACGAGTTTAACATTTGTTTTGCTTTATCAGGTTAGTTCGATTTGTTAATTAACAGTTTTCCTTTGCAAAGGCATGTATTACGTCGTACTCATCTCATATCATCATGTATATGATTATCTTAAAGCAAAGTGCAAAAATAAAGTTTCCTTCGAGATAGTTTGAATAAATAATTTTAAAGAGTTTTTGTACGCATGCATATTTAGCTCGAAGAGGTCTTCAATTTAGTTTTGCGCAATTGATTTAACAGGATCAAAGTCATTACGTCACGCATTCGCAAGTCTTGCTATGGTTATTGTATCGTTAATGCAAGTAAAAATTGAGCCCAGCCTGTTTCCGAGTGTGATATCCTTGTACGCCCCGTATTTACTAGAATTACACTTTAAATATAAGACAGTTTTACATATTGAATGCGTGGGAAATATTGAGGACAGCAACATCTTGCATATTCGAAGCGGTTTTTAATGAACGTCAGTGTAGCTTTCAAGGCGTTTTAAACTGTTGCTCTAGCTGAGTGCAACCATCCATTCATTCATTACAAACCACCATCGAATTCACATGCACATGCATACAAGTATACACACTCCTAACAAATGTAGATTATATTTACTGAAAATAGCGTGCAAATGTAAGGGAATAATTCTATATTATACTAAAATAAAAATTATAAATATATTATGTAAATGTGCTCACTCTCAGTTTATATATACTTGTATACATAGACTATATAAATACAATTAAAGAGAATAGCATACAAAGTGGCAGGAGCCCATTGTCGGGGATTGTACGAGCGGGAATTTACTACAAATACAAAATATACACAAATATGTATTTGAATTAAATGTAGCATAAATTCGAAAAAATACAGATCAAGATAAACCACTGCAAATAAATAATTAATAATAAAAAACATTAAAATAAAAAATTTGATAAAAGATACTAATAAAAAGGAAATATATTATTAAAAGTTTAAGTCAGTAATAAGCAATGGTATTTATTCTCTTTTATTTTCCTTTCTAACTGCTGATAGGTGTTAGGTTAATTCGAATAGACATGTGGAGTGGGAAGCAGGGTTGCGGATTTTTTAATTAAAAAATTTTGGATTAAATATTCGGTTTTTAATTTTGACCAACATTGGAATTAAACAGTGAAAACTTAATTTTTAATCAAATATGTTGCGATTAAAAATCTTAATCTAATTGAAAATCCACACTTAATAGTAGAATTAAAAATTGATAAAACATAACTTGTTTGAATGTATAAGTTTGCCGACCAGTGCTCGGTAGTATTAAAGATCATGCTGTGCGAGCTCTAGTTCAAATGCTAGAACGCGAGAACGCAAATGCGGAAAAATCTTAGTTTAAAACAATGTATTTTTTTCACTCTCGCAAAATGTTGCCACAAAGTATAATAGGTTTGTTCACCTAACGGTTGTTTGTATCACCTAAAATAATCGAGATAGATATAGAGTTATATACTTTTAAATTATCAGGTTGACGACACGAATTGAAGCCCTAGTAACGTCTGTGCAGCCGATAACTGAAGAAAAAATTGAGATATCTTGATGAAATCAGTTACATATGTTCCTTAGCACCCAAGAGAGATCGGTAGGAGCAGGTTAAAAATTGGATAACCATTCCTACCATACGCTGTGAAAATGGGCGAAATAGGATCATAACCACGCCTACTTTTCATATAACACAACTTTAAATTCCATTTGATTTCTTCACTTACAGTACACACATCAAGCCGCAATGAATATATCCTTACTTGTTAATTCTTAATTACATATATACTTGGAATAACATTTTTTTAATCCTGTTTTTGGGATTAAAAAATAATAAAAATAATTGCTTTTTAGGATTAAAAGTCGTCTGGAAATAGAGTGTGCGGTTTCGGATGTATAAATTTGCATGAGAACCTACTTATGGAGGTTTATTATTAATTGGCACATACCATTAGTTTAAAGCCTTCTAAACCCTTGATCGTGCGTGGCTTGACTGAAAAATTAATTTCTGCCCCATTGGCCAAGTAACCGCCCTTCTCTTGTAAATAGTATTAAAATATATTTTCAGTTGAAGTGTACTCAAGCTTCAACCTTTTTTGTGGTGTTATACTGTGCCAGTGGAGTTGACTAGTATATAAAAAAAACAGTTGTAGTTGAACAATTGAACAAGTTTTCAAAAAAATATTGCTTGAAAAGGGTTTATATCCCAACTACAAATATCGTTGATTGTTCCTCCCCGACGGTAAAATGATTTACACCGCAGTTTTAATAAGTACCGTCAGCAATGAAATGGGGAGTTGTTCATAATATATATATACATATGTAGGTAGGACGGCAGATCCGCGCACGCGTTTGTGAAAATATTCCTTCAAATGAAATAGCTACTTGGCGTTAGAAAAAATTCCAATGGATTTGAGTGATCATGAAGGTTTTCGCATCAGTTTTTGCCTCAGAATTTTCGTCACTGTAATATAAATCAAAACTAATGTCCATTTTAATAATTATTCACTCTTTCCTGAGCAATAACTGAATTAAATTGTTTTGAATTTCGTTTTAAAATTTTGTTAATTAATTATCTATCAAATCTTTACTTATTAGATTGGCAACATACATAGTTGAAGTTCATAATACCAAAAAAGAGTATGGTTGATTTGAAGTTGAATTGCTTTAACTTTTACTCAACTGGGTGGAGTTGAAGACAAAAATTAGTTAAGGTCAAAAAAGAATTAGGAGTCGTCATATTTTTCCTTTCTCCAGTAGTGTAGACACTTGAGGCTTGCTACTCCCGACTTTCACTCTCTTTAGTAGACCATCACAATGGTTTCCCGAAAATGTATAGCACCACGAGTAATAGCATAGGGCACTGGAGTAGATGACATGTGTGCAAATGTAAACGCAACCAAATTTTAAAGAAGATGCAAAGTTGTCGAAATAACGCACTCCGGACTATACAAGATAGCTTTTGAAATATCTTTAAGTGCATCTACATCTACATATTGAAGCCTGCATATTTCAACACCTATTGCAGACGAAGATATGGAGTTGCTCTCGAAACCAGAGACTGCACTGTGCGCAATTACATCCTGGATACTGTAGTAATTAACCACTCTTTGCATGCCCATTAAACCTACTCATCCAACACCCCTTTATCTATAATATAGATAGCTACACTACAGCTACAATAACGGTGCCAAAAAATATTTATTATCTTCTACAAACTTCTGTGTATCCTTACATTTACTGAATTTATAATAAAAATTTTAGTAGACAGTTATGCAGGAGTTTTGAGCTGAACCAATCTTGTATAATGGATTATATAAGTAATTGAAATTACTTTTATTTCAGAGATAATCCAGCTTTGCAGCATATATTTTTATTGGACCTAAATTTTCCAAATTGATTTGATATATATACATATCTAAGTGAAAGATACCATAAGAGGACATCAATAGATACAAACTTTTAAAGGATTTCATAAAAAGGAATGATAACATTTAAAAAAAGTTATAATGGTTTCTTATTATTCAATAGGCGAAAAGCAGAACTGATGATTATTACAAAACAAAAAACACAATTTAATTGCTTAAATATATTTACAATTTATTATTATTTCTTTGACATTTTTATTCTCTCGCTCTCTATGTTTAGCCAACATTCATCAACGTTCATAGAATACAATTTTACGACAACTTTCACGTCATTGAACCAACATCGTTCCTACAGTGGGACGAATTTGATCATCCTGGATATCGAGGGGGTCTGTAGTAACATATAACTGGAAGCGATTATTAGAGCTTTTGATAAGTTAGGGATTGATGCAAACCTCAAAAACATAACCCACAGTCTCTTTTGCGACAGAACTGTAGTGGCGGAGTTGGGTGGTCGAAAAGTGAATAGAGGCACCCCACAAGGAGGGGTTCTCTCCTCCTTGCTCTAGATCCTGATGATAAATGACCTATTGTAGCAAATTGAGGAACATGCTTGTCTTGCCTACGCGAACGACATAGCTCATTCAGTAAAAAGAAAATTCGTAAACATCGTCTACGATCTTTCCCAAGGGTAACTGATTTTAACTAAGTGGGCAGAGAGAAATGGCTCAGCTATCAATTCAAATAAAACGGATCTAGTTTTATGTACTAGGAGGCATAAGATCTTAAATATTTCTGTCCCAATTTTCCAAAATAAACTGCACTAATGTTTAAGCGCACTGGCATAGTGTTAAAAACAGTAATGCCCCAAAAAAATGAAGTTTGACAACACTTCAATCGAAATTTTTTTGACGGATTAAGTTGATATCGTAAATACTGAATTTTAAAACTTCAACCAATATACAGTTGGCTTTATATTGAAATTTAGTGGGTATGTTTTCAAGAGCGATCGAACAATTTCCATGTTTATAAAACGAGGTTATGCTAATTCATATACCATAGGTCTATCTGTAACCACATGACTAATCACACACAATTTTTTTAGCAATAGGAACATACGTAGGTTTCACCTCCTCAATCTACAGTGTTAAATGGAAAAATACCTTTTTATTTAAAACCCTTCAAAACCCATTACACTTCGAAGAATATTGATATGTAAATTTCATATGAAATAGTTATCTGTGAAATAAATCAGCTCCTGAGTTGAACAACGATTGTGGCGCCGCCCACATTTGTGTGAAATTTCTCGTTTCACAAGCTTTTGACTGAAATCTACTACTTACCTGTATTTCAATTCTAACAGGTGTGACTTATAGTATTACAAGTATATTAAAGCATTAAACTTTAGAACGTAAGTATACTTGCCTCACGCTCCCGCAGAATGAGTATGTACCACTCCATCTCAATCTCCCCCTTAATTGTTTATTTTGAGTTGTCGAGAACAGTAGTTAAATCAAATTGACCGAGGTCTATTACTGTGACACAAAGTTTACCATATTTTCACTCTACTAAACCTTTGCGCATTTTACCCTAACCTTCCACCAGTTTATTGAACTTCTCATCGAATATGGTGATAAATACAATTAAACGTAGACATACGGCAATATTATACACTTGTAAAATGCGATTAGAGGCATGAATTATCGCATTTTAGGCATATGCTCGTACAAATGTGCATATATGCATGCATAAGAAAATTGACAAGAAGAGGATGTTTGTCTGTTGTCACCCACCGGGGTCAACCATTACCGCGAACTCATTGAGTTCTATAAGAAGTATGATTCGTGCACACCTGGCTTATCAATAATTGGTCTCTCCACACACCAAAACACTCAACGTCTGTTCGCATTGTCGACATCGGTTCTAATACAAACGGCTGGAACAATGAGCGGCTATAAAAGACGATGCTGCGCCGAAGGAACTCATAGTCTAACGTAGAGCAGCGTATTGCAATTTAAGCAAATTATTTCTGTGAAAAAATTTCAATTTCAATATTTATTAAGTAGAAATGTTCAATTTGAGCGGTAAAAATGTCGTCTATGTTGGGGGCTTCAGCGGTATTGGCAACCAAGTTTGCCATATGCTGATGAAGCAGCAGATAAGCGTAAGTCGAAATTCCAACAAGAATTTCAGAAAAATGTGTTTGTATGTATATATTTATTGTGTGTAGCACCTGATTGTGATGGGCCGTATGGAGAATATGGAGATGATGCAGAAGCTACAGGCGGAAAATAGCTCAGTTAATGTGGTGTTCATTCACATGAACCTGATGGACCGTGTCAACATGGAACAGGCTGTTAAGCAAGTGATGGGTGTCATTAAACACATCGATGTGTTGATCAATGGTGCAGGCGTGTTGGCCGACAAGGACATGGAAACCACAATGGGCGTGAACTTGGTAATACCAAAATTCGCTTTGCAGTGTAAATTCAATTTATTCTCATTTAGAAAACTTATCTATGTATTACCAGATGGGTATGATGAATATGGTTTGGTTGTGTATGCCCTACATGGATAAAATGCAAATGGGTCAAGGCGGTATTGTGATGAATATTGCTTCCGTTTACGGCTTGGAACCAGCACCTGCCTTCCCAGTATATGCCGCTGCCAAGCACGGCGTCATTGGTTTCACACGCTCAATGGCGGTAAGTTGTTTCTCTACGAATATGCATTTTTCAATATATACAAAAATTTTAAAATTTTCTTCACTCTAGGATCAGCGTCATTACCAACACACTGGTGTGGCTTTCATTGTTGTGTGCCCTGGTCTCACCACCAGCGAAGTGATGATGAATTTACGTGAGAAGTCGGTGATGGGTCAGCAATCATATGTTGGAGAGTTGGTTGAAGCGATGGGCAAAGCCAAGCAGCAATCGCCTGATGAGTGTGCGATGAATATGGTCAAAGCGATGGAAATGATGAAAAATGGCGCTATCTATTTGTGCAACATGGGTCAATTAAAGGAGGTGATGCCAACCAACTACTGGCATATGTGAATACGTTGATTTCTCACATTCTGTAGAACAATTAGAATTCTTGAAAAAATGAAAAAATCAAGAGACTTTCTAATTGCACAAAATAAATTTTGAAAACAGCACAAAAACACTTTTTTTGCATAAAATAGGAGTATAAATGACATAATGACTTTTTAGGAAAGCAATTTATTAAATTTTGCATTTTTCTAATGCAAAACAATTTTGACCTTAATAACAAACAAAAAAGTTAACTTCGGTTGTGTCGAAGGATATTATAGCCTTCATAAATACAAAATATTCTATTTAAGAACTTGATTTTGATCCGTCAGCTTGTACAACAGCTATAAGCTGTAATGGTCGGATCAGAAAAATTTCTCCGGAGATTGTACCGTTGCGTTTAATAATAATTCGAGCCAAAATTTCGTGAAAATATCTGATTTAGACTCATTTTGGTTGTTCAGTTTGTATGGCAGCTATATGATATAGCGATTCGATATCGGTGGCTCCGACAAATGAGTAGTTTCTTAGCGAGAAAAGGACGTGTGCAAAATTTCATTTATTTTCTCATATTTTTTTTTATGATTTCCTTCTGTCTACTACAAACTTCATGGCGAACTTAATATACCGTGTTCTGATTATAAAAATTGTGAAAAAAACGTAAGGGATTTTCTTTGCAGACTAAAATATGATTGTGTATTTGAATGTTTGAAATTTAACAAAAATCGGCGTAGATCAAATCAACAATGGACTAGGAGAATTATTGAGGGTTTATAACTAAACACGCTAAATACGGTCAGTCGGTACACAAATACATGAGTTTCAATGAAGCTATTTTAAATATTACATAATGCTAAGTTCCATGCTATATCTCACAATTTGTATGTATTTAAGTCAGTTAAATATTTCGAAGTTTGAAGCCACCGGTTGCATGTCTCTTCAACATTCGTTATCAGACAAGATTGTCAACCAATTGGAATCATATTATATTTACTTAATGGATCGATCCACTTATTTTCATTAAGAAAGTCTTATATACATACAAAAGATCTATTTAACAGAGTACATACTCATACATCTCATTAGTGCTGAGAAAATGAATCGGATTGACGTGATAAGTGACAAACTATCACCCAATTTTATTGAGATACTTCTCTTACATACTGAATAACATAACGTTATAAGGCCAACCAAAGTTACGGAATAATTTATATTCGGTTTATAGGTTATAGATGAAAGTATGTATAAGCCGATTACGACAATTTTTATGCGTAAATGGAGTTGACCATTTTTGTAGCGCAGGGGCAAATCGTTTTTTTAAAGTGGTGGTGGCCCGGCCCTCTAAATGTTTAAATGTACATATGTATCTTCGAAACCGCTGAAGCTAACTCAATCAAACTTGTTGAGAAGAAGAATTTTTAGTACTTATTCATACACTCTGAAAAGGTGTCATAACGGTTACGTTCGCAAACATTAAATTTAAATTCCAAGATGGAAAAGAAGAGCTTTATAGTAGCAGGTGTAAAAATTGTACAATGGGCGTGGCCTTGCCCACCTTTGGGTGAAATCTTATATCTCAAGAACTACTTTACCAATTTCAACCAAATTTGGTGTGTGAGATTAACCAAACATTTCCCAATACACTGTGAAAATAAGCCAAATCTGATGACAACCAAGTCTACTTCCCAGATAACAGTCTGTAAAATTCTATCTAATTCTTTCACTTAACAGTACACAAATCAAACATCCGCTTGTTTTTATATGATTTATATTGGGAAATCTGTGAGGTTTCTTAATGAAATTTAAAGATAATCTATTTTGGAATGATAATGGCCGTAACTCTACAACTAGATAAAATCGGGTCAAAATATACCCAAGCCCCCATATTCCTTACCATATATTTGTAAGAAAATTGATAATAATTATATAAGAGTTTTAAATTTTCGGTTGGCTTTTTACCGTATATATCGATGTGAAAGTATTTATTTTATTGGATATATTATAGTTAAAAGCTGAAATTGTGTGATATCGATCCACGTATTACATATTATAATTTTCATTAGTCCAGAATGAAATTTGGGATTTCCCATCCTTTGGTTGATGTTTTTCTCATATACTCCATATTTTAAATTTAGCTTTGATTAGATTTATATCACATGTCTCATTTGAGTTATTGTAATTAAGCTGAATTCCTTCAGAACATTTTTATACTCATGTAACATGTTGCTACAGAGTACATTAGTTATGGTCACCTAACGGTTGTTTGTATCATCCAAAAATAAACGAGTTATATGTAGGGTTATATATATATAAATGATAAGAATGACGAGACGAGTTGAAAATCGAGTGACTGTCTGACTGTCCTTCCGTCCGTTTGTACTCCTTGACAAAAAAGTGAGGACGAGTTTGTAGATGGGCGTAAGCGGATCACTGCCATGCCCACAAAACGCAATTAAATGAAAATCTATTAAGTGCCATAACTAAGCCGTAAATAAACATACAAAACTGTCATTTGGTACAGGAGATCGCAGGACATTTGTGGCTGATATAGATGTGGGAAACCAAAAAGTTCCAAATCAACCTGTATCGGTCAATCTTACAAGTAGCTTTGGTTCTATCTTCAGTTTAAACAAGAAAAAATGTTAACTGCGGTTGCACCAAAGCTATAATGCTCTTCAAAATACAAAGGATCCTTACAAGAACTTGATTCCGATCGTTCAATTTGTATGGCAGCTATATGATATAATGATCTGATCTGAACAATATTTTCGAAGAATACCTTGTTGCCTTAAACAATAACTTGCAGCTAATTTTGTGAAGATACCTCGTCAAATAAAAGAGTTTTCCAACAAGCACTTGATTCCAATCGTTCAGTTTGTATGGCAGCTATTTGCTATAGTGGTGCGATATCGGCCGTTCTGACATATGACCAGCTTCTTAGTGAGGAATGGAAAGGAGTAAAAACTGAGGGACTAATTCGTATACATACAGACATACAGACGGACATGGCTAAATCAACTCAGCTCATCATGCTGATCATTTATTTATATATTTTATAGGGTCTCCGACGTTTCCTTCTGGGTGTAACAAACTTCGTGACAAACCTAATATACCTGACCAGGGTATACAAATTGTCAAAATCGTGCCATAGCTATTCAAGCCCGCAGGTACCTGAAATGTGGACCCGAGAGCCTATGGCTGACTTTTATGTTATTGAAATTAGGAGATAATCTTTTCCTGATAAATATGTCAAGAATTGGTTGAATCGGGTCAATATTTCTTTTAACGTACACATACCTATGAGAACGATTTTAGGGCCATTTTTTGGGCCAATAAGTAACTCATGCTAATTAAATTGAGTGAGCGTGTTTTTCTCCTAACGGTGCATCTCTGTGCCTAAAATGAATAAAATCGGGTGAAAACTTGCACTAGTCCCCATTTAACTAATATCAGGTTTTTCACATATTCGGTTGAGTTTACTCCTTATATTATATATTGTTGACGGTATGTGAGGTACCTTAATGAAACTCAAAGAGCATCTGTTTCTGTTAATAATATGTAGTAATGTCAAAAGTAGATAAAATCGGATCAATACTACACCAATCTCTCATATACCTAATAAAAGATTTTCAAACTTCCAGTTGGTCTTCTACCGTATATATAGGTCAATATGTATGGTATCTTAGTAAAATTAACTGAACCTAAATATATATATGTCGAATACTTCAACTTTGAATATTTTAAAAAGAAAAAATTTGGAGTTTTTTGCTTTTATAAATAAGAGAACTAAATATTAAACAACAAAATTATATTCAAATATTATTCTTAATCGAAACAAGTAAGAAAGAGCTAAGTTCGGGGGTAACCGAACAATTCATACTCTTGCTACTTGCAAGGATCAAATCCGGGGAAATTCCTTCAATTAATTCGTTTTATAAATATAAATATAACTCATACACCGTCCTACATATTGAGCGAACGAAAATCATTATATGTGGTGTATGAGCGTTTGCGTAATTCGAAGACCAATATCACATATTTTCGGCTTTAAACTATAGTATGTTCAATATTATCCCTTCAGTTAATTTTGTTAAGATATCTATATGGTATATGAGAGAAAGGGATAGTATTGAACCGCTTTTATTAATTTTTGTCAGAAAAAAAGATAATCTCTAAGTTTCATTAAGGTACTTCACATACCCTCACAAATATATGCGGGATAAAGTCAACCGGATGTTTTAAATCCTGATATTAGTTATATGGCGCCTAGGGCAAGTTTTAAACTGATTTTTCCATTTTATGTACAAAGATACATTGTTCTAAGAAAAACACGCTGTTTAATTAATCTTAATTTCATTAAGATAATTCGCATATTGACCGATATTTGCGGAATAAAGTTAACCGGAAGTTCGAAAATTTTTCCATTAGGTATATGGGGACTAAGGAAATTATTGATCTGATTCAATCCATTTTTGGCACACGGGCATATTGATACCAGATAAAGATTCTACCTAAGTTTCTATAATATATCCATCAGATTGACAGATATTATCGGATAAAAACTTCGCAATAGGAATTGGTGTCCATATATTTGGTATCTGGGGGCTTAAAAAGTTTTGTATCGATTTGGAACAAGCTGACACACTTCAAAGTCAGTATTCGTGCAAAGTTTTATCCCGATACATTCATTGGTGCTTAATTTGTATACTGGAAAGTGAAAGAATCAGATGGAATTTAGAGTTGTGAAATATGGAAAGTAGGCGGTTTTGTAATCCGATATCGCTCATCTCCACACTGCACAATGTCAGAATATTTTACTCAAGTTACAGCTTGCACAGACAGACAGATGGTCTGACAGTCCCTCGGAATTCAACTCGTCTTGTCATCCTGATAATTTATATATACATAACCCTATATCTATCTCGATTAGTTTTAGGTGATACAAACAACCGATAGGTGAACAAAACTATTATACTCTGTATCAAAATGTTGCAAGAGTATAAAAAGATAATAGCTTTCAAAAGTTTCATATAAAATATTTATATGTGCAAAAAATTATTTCAATATCTCTTTATTTATAAATCAAATAGTTTTGAATTTTATAGTAAGGGATTGTGGGGATCAC